GACTATAAAGTATAAGGATGGCCGCTACAGAGTTGAGTTGCCGTGGCGACCTGACAGAAGATAAGGTAACAACTAAACTGAGGGTTGTATTTGATGCATCATCACATGAAGAGAGTTGCCCCTCCCTTAATGACTGTTTACTGACTGGGCCCAACCTGAACCCAAATCTGTTAGATGTGCTGATAAAGTTCAGACTCCACCAGATAGCCTTTACGGCAGACATCACCAAGGCTTTCTTGCAGATAGAACTAGCAGAAAGAGACAAGGATGCTGTGAGGTTCCTGTGGCTACATGGACCTCCAACCAAAGACTGTAAAAATGAGCTGCGCATCATGAGAATGAGTAGATTGATTTTTGGAGTGTCACCCAGCCCGTTCCTTTTAGCTGCAACAATAAGAAACCACATCAGGCAGTATGAAGCGGAACAGCATAAGACAGTGGAGGCACTGAGAGAGTCCCTCTACGTAGATGATTTTATCTCCAGGTCATGTGATGTGGATGAAGCACTTCTAGTTGCCGCAACAGCAAAGGAGATTCTGTCTCACGCCGGCATGAACCTGTGCAAATGGGTGACAAATTCACCAGACCTGAGAGACAAGTGGACAGAAAGGGATGTGGAGCACACAACAGACACAGCAATTTGTGGAAATGTACTGAAGGTGTTGGGGTTGGTATGGAGATCGGAGGACAGTTTTGTGTTTGATTTAAAGGGATTACTGGACATTGTAAAGGACAAAGAAAACACAAAGAGAAGTGTGCTAAAGACATCAGCCAGAGTCTTCGACCCCATCGGTTTCCTCACTCCATTCACTATTCGAGTAAAGTGTTTGTTTCAAGAACTATGGGAGAGGGGAATCGGTTGGGATGAGCAGCTTCCCTCAGATTTGGCTGAAAAATGGGATCAGTGGTGTGTAGAGCTGCCACAGCTCCACCTGGTGGACATTCCAAGATGGTACCAGATCAAGATCCGACCAAACTTGCAGATAAAACTGCACGTCTTCTGCGACACCAGTGAGAAGGCATACAGTGCTGTTGCCTATCTGCAAGGACAGAACAAGGAAGGAGATGTTGTAACAAGCTTTGTGGCTTCCAAGTCAAAGGTAGCCCCACTAAAGAAAATGACTTTACCACGCTTGGAACTCATGGGTGCACTGATTGGAGCGAGGTTAGGAAATAATCTCCTCAAGCCACTCAACATGGAAAGAAATCAGCTCTGTGGACAGATTCAATGATTGTTTTCCATTGGATACGCAGCACAGCACAAAGGTGGAAGCCATTTGTGGCCAACAGAGTGACCGAAATACAAGGACTCACAAATCCAGAGTTGTGGTGTCACTGCAATGGCAAAACTAATCCTGCTGATTTACCTACCAGAGGCCAGAGCGTCGAAAACCTCATCCAAAGCCAGCTGTGGTGGAGCGGACCTGCTTCACTGCTATCAACTGATGTGGAAAAGGACATGGATGAGGACTGTGTTGAAGATGAGGTGAACACTGAGCTTAGGTCTAAGTTTCAGGCTGTAGTACAGCTGACCAGCACTGAACAAGCTGAGCCACTATTGGACTTGGAGAAGTACAGTAGGTTAAAAACTGCATTAAGAATAACTGCATGGGTGAAAAGATTCATAGCTAATGCCCGTTGTAGTCAAAGGATTCAGGGAGAGCTAACTTCAGAGGAGCTCACTGCAGCAGAGGTGTATTGGGTGAAGATGACCCAAGAGCAGAGCTTCAGCCAAGAAATCGTCCAGCTGAAATCTGGACAGGACATCAAGAGAGATTCAAAAATAAAAGACTTGAAACCATTCTTGGATGAGAATAGCCTTATTAGTGTAGGAGGCAGGCTACAGTACTCTGATTTCAGATTTAGACAGCAACACCCATGGGTGCTACCTATAAATCACAGATACTCTGAGTTACTTGTTCAGGACTGTCATGAGAGATTGATGCATTCTGGAGTCAGAGACACTCTAGTACAAGTGAGAGAGAGGTATTGGATTCCAAAAGGGAGACAGCTAGTCAAGAAGATGGTATCACATTGCTACATCTGCAGAAGATTGAAGGTGAAACCAGCACAGCAGTCCACGGCTCCATTACCCAGAGACAGAGTGACCGAGTCCCCTCCCTTTGAAGTTATTGGGGTGGATTTTGCAGGGCCATTATATGTTAAGGCTAGTGGTCAGTCTAAGAAGGCATATATTGCACTTTTCACTTGCGCTGTCACCAGAGCAGTGCATTTAGAGTTGGTTTCTGATCAGACTACAGAAAACTTTCTGTTGGCCTTAAAGAGGTTTATCGCAAGGCGAGGACTGTGTAAGGTTGTTTATTCAGACAACGCCAAAACGTTCAAAAGAGCAGAACAAGATGTAAAGGATTTATGGAAGTCATTCAGAGGATCAGAGCTCACAGAGTTTTTAGAAGCTCCACTTCACAACACTGACCAAGTGGCAGTATTTGACAAGTAGGGAGTGAGAAAGTGTTCAAACATGACATTCAACTGAGGACAAACTAACCTAACAACTAAGATAAACAATGTTTCTTAAAGATATTTGTCTTTATTGACGGGGAGGAAAATAGCTTTTTTCAGACTTTTGGGTCTGATATTACAGCTTAAGTGGATGAATTTCTGAATGAGAAAAATAGCAATTCAATCAAATAAATCAGAGCGTAAACAAAGCCGCTGGTGTTTTAGTACATTACAGTCATTTAGCAGACGCTTTTATCCAAAGCAACTTACAATTCAGATTCTATACACCGTAGGCACAGCTACGGGAGACATTGTTGGGGTTAAGTGTCAAACTCAAGACACATCAACATGCGACTAGTGGGTCCGGAGCCGGGGATCGAACCGCCGATCCTGTGATTGAAGGACGGCCCTGCTCTCCATTTAGCCACAGTAGTGGGTGCTATACACACTGGGCCTTTCAGAGAATCAGCATTTTGCAGTGTGCTGACTCACACTGTAGATAAGCTGTCTCGCTTCATTGCCATTCACAGCACACAGACAGAGCACAAACACACACACACAAACGAGTTGCTGTCATCAGTATGCTAGACGTAAACTCTCATTCCTGTCTGTCTCTCTCCTCCCTTCCTTTTTCTCTCCCTCTCTCTCAGCTACATAAGGTGGAGATCAGTGTGCGTGTCACATCCTCTCTGTCCCAACAGAGTCCCAGTGTGTCTCCACACGCTCTGCCACACACACACACACACACACACACACAGCATCCCATGAGTGTGTGTGTATAATCAGATTACCCGGATTTTCTGTCAACTGTCAATCCCAGCGACTGTAGCCGAGCTCAAGGTCACACTGTGTGAGGAGGAGGGGGAGCACGGAGCCCCCGAGCACGGAATATGTTCAAAAACTATGCAACATGTTATTAGATGGGTTCAGGTGTCCATCCTTATGAATGCAGGTTGTGCAGTCCGGCTTTCCCACACTGCTCATTTTGAAAGTCCAACAGAGATCCCAAAGTGCCCAAAGATAGCGATTACGTCAGGGGGAAATGTGTAAAGAGTAATGCAACAGACGTGTGGAGTATTTCACTCTGATGGAGTGTAAACATATCATTTTAGTTCTCAATATGTCACCTGGTGTAAACACCATATGACATTCTAGAACAGACTACAGGCCTCTATGTGATATCTTCACACAGATGCTTTGAGAGTCCGACTGCAATTATGTTTTTCTTCTGCTACACCTTACAGATGTGTTCTTTAAATCATATACCTCGTGCTCACCTCTGAGAAAGAAGTCACTTCCCAAGAGAGGTATTTGATGTATTTTGGTTTTCAGTTCAGCTGCCAATCATACACCGACGTGCCCCTTCAATGTGACAGAAAAAGTTATTTTAGTCTTCCCTTTTATTATATAACTATAGAAAATGTATTTGAAAGTCACTTTGACATTATTTACCACTTGATAAGTTGTCAGTTGGATTTCAAACAGGTTTGTGTTGTTTTGTTTGTTTGATGATTGTTGTTAAAATGTTATAGTTACAAAAAACAATTAATATAAACATTTTGAACATGTCATTCAAACAAGACAGAAAACATGAACATTTAACAGAATTAAAAAGTCATAACTATGTTTGTTTCGTAAAATAAGTATACATGTTATGTAGCTTACGTATGCGGCAATAGTTACGTGTTATGTAACAAATAAGTATTGTAGTTTTGTAGTTTAAGACAAAAGGCTACATTACTTACCCGACAAAAGTATTTGAACTTAATTACTGACAAAAAATAAGTCACTGTTAACTTTTGGTTTGGAGACACCAAGAGCGGTGTCCTGAGTCAAAGTTCTGTCTTTTTTTACCCATCCAATCCACCACAACCTCCTCCTTGCACGGACTTCATCGCTCACTTGGCTTCCTCCTTTTACTCGCCAAATCTAAGGCTTCATAGTTTGAAGCATATGGCCGCAGACCAAGCTGCTGTATTTGACGAGTTGGGAGTGAGAATTAGCTGTCAGGAAAGTGCCCAAGTGACAGCGAAACAAGGACCCTGAAACTGAAGCAGCTAAATGGAACTGAGCCATCATTCATTTTTATAATTTACACCCGTTCACACCAGTTACATCTTTTCTAATGTGGCATGGCAAAATGTCTGCAGGAAAAAAAAGACCTGCCGGACTCTTACCGTGACATTTGAAATGTCTTTTTTCCCCTTTCAGTTACTTGATTACAGGAGAAACAAGATGTAGAGGGGTAGGTGTCAACTGTTCCATGTGAAGAAACGAAAGATTGACTGTATTCGTGAATGGAGAAAACCCAAAAAACAAAGAGGAACAGTGTTACTGTATATGACATCATTATGAGACAACAAAAAGAAAGAAGAAAACTGTTAAAAAATGTTTGAATAAATAAATATTCACAACAACATATTTGCAAATGTTTTCTGAGGAAGGCAACTCATTCAACTTGTTGGACCTTAACGATACACACATTGTGTTTTGGTGAGCACCACTAAACGCAACATAACTCATCTTCTCTCCTGTAGCTGTTTCGAAGACGACGAGCCCCCGTGTGTCGAGGAGATTGAGTATTCCGCAGACTGTCCCGCACTCGCAGGCGCCGATCTGGACTCGGACATCAATGGCAACACGGCTAGCGCTGACGAAGAGGAGGAGGGCGATGAAGGATGCAGGGAAGTGAAACATCGGCGGGGCAGTGTCGGCCAATCGCAGCAGTCGAGTGCGAAGGGCCGCCTGTTCCCTCACCTGATGCGACAGGCCTCCGCCGAGATGCTTGGCGAGAAAAGAAATGCGTGCAACGCCGTGAGCGTCAACAGACAAGTCATGAGTTAAAGGAATTTTAAAGTCTGCAATGTTCTACGGCTTTTGTCAGCATTGTAAGATTTCCTCGTTGGAACTTAGTAGGTGTGTTTAAATGAAAAGAAACACCGTGGTAAATTATACACATGAACAAAAGCAAAATATTAAAAAAAAAGCTCATTTTTGGATCTAGAATTCAAATAAAGTGAGGAGCCAATCACACCGAGATGCGTCACTAGAAACGCGTCACCTGAAAACCATTGTTTTCCTAGGGTTTTTTAGACACACATAAAAGTTTAAATATTATCAACTTTTCAGTTGTTTTTTAATTGGCTCAGAAGTATGACACACTTTCCGCACAACTCTATAAGTCTATAATGTGTAATAGCACAACTCTTTTGCAAAAAGCAGTCAGACCTGCACTCATATCGAGGAAAGCCAACTATGCTTTTTTCTTCTTTTCTTTTTTCAAACTGAGAAACAGAATATGGTTTCAAAAAGTCCAGGATGGAGATCGGGTTGTAAATGATTCATTAGCAACTGGTCACCGCAGCAGTATTTTATGGTGGGTCAGGATAGTCTTAATGGTGTGGATTGGTCTCATGCAACCAGTAAATAAACATGAGTAGAATGAACCCATTCCTCTCAGAAACAAACACACTACATACCTTTTTTGTCATAAAAAACAAAGTAGCTGACGTTACAGCTGGCAGTTTGTTCTAAATGTTGAGCAGTATTAAAATTTCTTAATAACTAACCAGTTCACCACCGGCACTTCGGATGATCTCTTATTTCAGAAGAAAATTAATTAAATGGATTATTTTTGACATTTATACAATCATAGCTGGTACTTTGGTTATTGCAGCTGTGAAAAGCTTGAAAATCCACTTGCTTGTTTGGATTGATATATGAGTGTTGGAGTCTTTAGAAAAACAACGGTATTGATTGTTGATGACCTATGTTTACGTTCAGCACCGAAGCAGGACGTGGTGCATGGTGTTCCTATAGGGCAGCAAAAGGTGAGGGTGTGGATGTGAGGGGCTGGAAATTAATAGCTTCAAACCCCGTTTAACTAAAAAACAACATATTTCTTATAATTGTATAAACTTGACCAATGTACCCCTAACGCGCTTCTGATAAGTCTGGCTAGAAAAACGTAACCATACTGAACCAAACAGACAGAGAATCAACCTATCTTATTGTTTAGGAATGAAGAGGTGTTTACTGTATTTCCATCAGGGTACCAGGTACAGAGTCTTTCTCACCATGACCAACACCAACACCCAGATGATTGTTTCATAGGTAAACAATTTACAAGCTTATTGGGTAATGAGCGAGGACCATTTGGGGTTCCAGCGACAAAGTTTAGCGAAGAGAGTCGTAGAATGCACTTTTGAGAAACGATATAATGAATGTTACACACGTTATATACCCAGTTAAAGAAGATATTCTGGGCAACAATATCCTGCAAGCCATTTTACACACTTCAAACACAATTCTACAGGAGTAATATAAGTATCTAAAACAATTACCACAATATCACTCTTTTTTCGCCATTGCTGAGCCGACCACGTATTCCGGTAGGCGCTAAGAAGAAGCTAAAGGCTAACACGGAAAACCGAAATAGCAGAAAGCACGCCAATAACACACAGATCCCAAGGATATCTTCAGAATTTCTCTCCGTGAAACCATTACAGAGCTGTGAGCAAACAAGCACCAGAACCACAAACCGCTTTATCAATAAAAATCATAACTGCACCTCACTGTGAGCTGAATTTCGTGAAGAGAACGGATAAATCCCGGTTATTTCCATTCAAATGTGTTCGACGTATATCCTGTTGTGTCTCTGAACTGTTTCCTGAAGAAAGGGGGGGGGTCTACCTGAAGTAGGGGTGATGGGGGTAGGGATTTGACTTTCGGCGAATGGAATTTTACGCTCCGATGGCTAACGATTCTGTCAATCAATACCACGTTACTCCCACTCAATTGTATGGACTCTGTCGCGTCGAAGGAGGGTCCATTGACTGAAATCGACCAATCATAGGCTGAGAAAGGCCCACATACACACAGGGAAACTACAGTCAGATGAGAAAATCCCATGGATGACAGACAGAAACAGGCTCAGAGAGGAGTCAGGCTCTCACAATGAAGCCAAACTGCTGTATTTGGATAGATTGAACACTATTAATGATAAAACAAGTGCAATATATAGTTATATAGTATATAAAATTAGAATGGAACAGCTGGTTCCAAAATTTAAATTTGGTTTACCTCGCCTGACCTCTCTGTACTAAAACCTCTCTAATTTTGTTCTGCTTCACTTTATCAAAGTCGAACTTTGCACAGAGACTGTTCACATATTGTGCTATGATTTGGGAGTGTTTTTAGGCTTTCAGCTGCATCATTCCAAAGAAATAACAATAAATGGGCTTTTTTTCAGGCGAACCTGAAACTTTTCAATTTGAGCTGTGTGCCATCTTCATTTACTCTTAACCAGTAACATATACACTGATATTTACACATCTAAACAAATCTCAAGTGTTACCTTTATTATAACATCAAAATTATTCAAATAGACCTTGTAGTTGCAGAAATACACTCTTTTTAGTATGCAGTTTTCGAGCAGAGCACTAAAAATAGGGCTAGGGCACTACAGGACCAGTAAAAAGACGACAGGGTCCAAGATTGTATTTCAGCCAATGCCTTCCTCTTTTACTCTTCACACAGACTCTTAAACTGGATTCAACCAAGGCCTGCTCGAACGTGATTGGTCAATATTAGTCGGACTACAGCAAGGAACCTATAAAATGATATATTCCTTGGACTACAAACTCAAACCAGATCACTTCAGATACCAAAATCTTGTCCTGTTGCCGGTTCTGTACTGGATATGAATGAATAACTAGGATGTTTCTGTATATAGTATTTATGTACTGACCATCATTCAGTACTGCTCTAAATTTAACAGTGAAGTGAAAAATTCTTTGTAATATTTTAATCAATGACACACTGTGCTAATTGACCAGAAGATCTCTTTTGTTTGTGTGACCACAAATGTATGTTCTACTGGTGGTGAGTCCTGAAGATAATGAGGTCAGACAGTTGTTAAAAATATTCATGATCCCCAGGAGATGATTTTATTATGTTGACCCCCGGACCTTTCTTATACCGCCACCATCAGGACAAAATGTTTGTTTGAACAACACTTTAGTCAAAGTGTAGACTTCTGTGAAATATAGTGTGGGCATTCATGGTCCCCAGCAAATTAATCTTAATATTTTTGTCTAATAACGGGCCAAAATTTCTACATATACGCGAGAAAGATCTACTAATCAGGGGCTGACTTTCCTGAAATGTAACTTGCACACACTTGCTCTCTAGAGGCTGAACCATTTTTTTAATTTGGACACTAAATGAGCTTCCCTTTTGTGCCATCCACAGGACAAAATGTCAACTCTGCATAAAATGAAATGTGAGGCAGATTGTATAACATGTGTTAAGCACGATCATGGTCCCTAAGGGATACACTTTTTGTGTTATTTCTGGCTCCATAACTGGCTCTTGTTATATAGTAAATCAGTCATTTTGTACACTTTTAATATGCTGCAGACAAAGCACTCCACTGTTTCATTCCCAATATCAAACATTTTAATGTCTTGTAGGTATATTAATAATAATCCTACTAAAATGCTTTTCTTTCACAGCCGTAAAATCAAACAGGTTTACAGCTCCTCCTTACAAACACCAAGTCTTTAGACAAACAATTATAATGAGTTTTAATGTAGTTTAATTCAGAGACATGATATATCGGCTGACTGGAACCAGGCTGCTGTCACTGCTGTGGTGGCACTTAGCTGCTGAAGGGAACTACAAAAATCCCAGCCACCCCTCGGGACTCAACACGGAGACAATCCTCCTTATGTGAAGAGAGGCAGAGGCCTTTGTGAAAATGCATCTTGGATTATTTGCAAGCACATATTCCACTTAACCTAAGCATGGCATCTTGCAAGCTTTTTTGGCAAAGTGTTCTAAATGAAACACTTATTTATTTTTTTAAACACGTGGAAAGAAAACTTTAATCACTTAAATGCTTACTCTCTGACTTCATGAGAGTTTTACCCAGCCGCTTTAAGGTGGATGTATTAAATCTGGCCAAACACTGGTCCTTACAGTACTGTTAAATGTACAAATGGGTACTTCTACGATATGTTAGCTGAATTTGTGCATGAAATCTGAATATTATAGAGCAGGGGTCTTCAACTAAAATTCCAAAAGGTCCAGATTGAGAAAATGTCCTCGGCAAAGGTCCGGAACATTACAATAATATCTAACTTGTGCTATTTAGTGCCATATATATATTTTAGGTCCTGGGTCCGGATACAATGGCGTCTGGGTCCGGATCTATTAGGGACCCCTGTTATACAGTGTCGGATGGTGCTGTGATCTTGTTCAGGTTGAACATTCAGTGTGAAAGGTTTGTGTATCAGCTATATGTATGTGTTTTGCTCTAGATTTGATAATATATTTTTAATTTGCAGTGATCCACAAGTAATGTGTAACTATTTGAAGCACCTAGAATAAATGCGTTTCTTGTGTGGGCCAGATGTGAAGTCTGTTTTCAGAACAGTAAAAAGTTGAACGAAGGAATATGTCATGATTTGTTCATTTTGTCATCACAACTCGGAAACACCACTCCCACCATTCGTTGTGTTTATTTTCTTAACAAAACTGTCTAGTATACTAGACAAAACAAACAAAAACTGACTGAAATTGTGGATTAAAAAGCGAGTTGACTGACATGGAATTTGAAAATAGAAACGTAAAATAAATCTTTATATACTTTCATCAATGAATAAAGTATAGAGGAAATCCATTCTTGACTTTGGGAGCCGTAACGGACAGAAACACATCTTACCACATGAACTTCCCCAAAAAATACGTTTACTCCCAACTTTTAGCAGGTTCAGAACCCAATTATTTCCAAACACAGACACAATAAAATACTTAATATTTAAAATGTATTTTAACTAAATTATTCCACACTTTCACTACTCAGAATATCGTCAATTTCTGAGGCTTCTCCAGAAGACAGTATGTTTACGGAGTATTATTCTATTTTCATCACTCAGAATGCATTATAAGCTGATTGTATCTGTTAGAGCCATATTTTTAGTTTTGATTTCAAATCATAATTTTCTAAATTTGCTAATATATTTGTATGATCTATATACATTCCTTTGATTTATGAATGGAGGTTAACTTCGTATTCTGAATAATTATTTTTCTTTGGGAAGTTTTGTTATTAATCAGATGAGGATCAGCTGGGATAAGAGGAAGGGGTGGGAGTGAGTCACCGGTTGTTTTCCTTGGTGTAGAACGGGGTATCGGCAGAGTCTTTGACCTCACTTTATATATGGCTGTAAAGTTTGTAGAAAATGAAAATAAATAAATCAAATGACGGCAATGGAATTATCATTTGTACTGTTTAAAGTGTGAGTCGAGTAACGGAGCCCCGTAACGTGGCCGAGTATAGAAGAAGAAAGAACTGGCCACCACAGCATCATCAGTAAATCATATCAAAACGGTCAGAATAAAACAAAACAATATTTCCCTTTTCAATTCCCTGTTTCCATTTCGGTGACATTTAAATCCCCAAACCTTTCCAATGGGTGGATGTATTAAAAAAATTCCTGAGCAAAAGCAATAAATATTTCATACAGCTATGACTGCACTCCCACAAGGGCGTAGATTTGCATAGGGTCCATAGGGACTGGTCACGACCAAAGTTTGGGAAAGACACAATTGTCCCCACAAATATTTTGTTAATTTTAATTGCCTGTTAGAAAAAATAAGCAGACACTCAGATTCCGTGTTCAACTCAGCAGACACTTACACTTTAGTGCACCTATATGCTGAAATTCACTGTAAACGCATTCAAACGGCACAGATCGGGAGCGAACGAAGGACTTTGAAAGATAGCGGAAAGATTAACATGAGACAACATCCGGTTTCTTCAGACGAACATCCGGTTTTCAGAATAAGATGCCAACAAAGTATGAATTATATTCACATTAAGTATAAAACATGCTACCTGCATCTCGTGAGTTCAAGGGAAAACACACCTAAATTGTGGGTAAAGTGTCTTTATTATTTGATCGCTGGGTAACCATCATCACCTCGGAGTTACAGCATTATATTGATGAACAGTAGAGCTGCATTCACATGCTCTGACTGTCATGAAGACAGACATTTGTGCTGAAACGTGCTGAAACATGTTATTCATGTTGCACAGCAGTGGAACGTTTCACATACAGTCACACACTGAGCACAGATAGTGAAGAGATAGAACTGCTACTGTGTAAAGGGAATACTGCTGTTAAAAAGCACCTGATGTGTTTAAAGTGTTTGCAAACCAAATGTTATTGCCCTTTTGTTCATATAGCAGTACTTTTAAAATAAAACTGCGCAATACACTACTTTTTAATCCATTGTTGAACTTTGCCATAACAATGAGATTAATCGCAAAAAATCCATGCGATTAATCGTGATTAAAAATTGTAATCGTTGCCCAGCACTACTAATAATTGCATAAAGGAGGAAAGCACTTTATTTGTAGCCTATTACGTGCTGCAGAATAGATTTATTTTTTTTGTCTTTTTTTGGCTGCACAACTGGGAAAAGGTTTTTATATATATTTTGGATATAGAATATACTGTTACTGTATATTGGCATTTTAGCAGAACGTTTTTTATTCATTTATTAAATTATTTATTATTATTATTATTTATTTGGTGCAGAATACTGTTTTGTATTTAAACTAAGGTTTTGTTACTGTCAAATCAGTTCCAAGTTACACAAATGTTAATATATTTTAATAAAGTTTGCCTGTTCAACATAATATCAACCAGGGGCGTCGTTAGGCCTATTTTAGGGGGGTTGAAGCCCCCCTCAAATGTTCTTCAGCCCCCCCAAATAATTTGGCATTATTGGCTTTAAAAAAAAAAAAAGAAGAAAAAAATATATATTTTTTTATTTTGGTGATGTCATTAAATTAAACTATTGTTTCTCACATGGACAAGTTAGTTATAACTCTAACATGCTACCTATGTGCATGCGTTCTGGTTTGTATGTTTTCTCCCCCTTCAAATTACGATCCAATAGCCTATCATCATACTTAACGATATAAAGTTGACACTGTCAGGTCCATTCTCCATCCATTGTGTGCGGTCCCTTTAAGAATTAGGATTTGGGAGTGACGCGGATATTCTTTATTTGAGAAAAGTTCATATTTGTGTTGTCAAATTTCACTATGACCCTCAAATTCTGTCTCTTGTGTTATCATATACTGAATGCAAGCAAAACTACAGAGCAAAATCACTCTTTCTGATTGAACCAATCTATGAACTGTCTGAAACAATGGATATCCGCGGCCCCAAATGGGCCCCAAGAAAATTGTCAAACATGCCACTCCCCTTGGGGCTAAACCCCCCCTTTCTTTGAATCCTAGAAACACCCCTTATATCAACTAAGACTTTTTTAGATGGCGGGGGGGGGGGGACTGGCAGTGTCCCTACCAATGCTGAGACCAAACCTATGCCCTTGCACTCCCACCCCACCGACACTATCATCCAGTGGCGGGCCGTGTACTTTATACACCTGGGCCTTCAGTGCTGTCCTACTACAGTTGAACCACCTCCTAATAACCTCATTATGACGCCAGCATGACGGGATGCTTCGGCATCTTAACGGGCAATGCATCTAGTCAAAATGTAATTAACACAATGACAAGAACAAACTCACAAGAACCAGTCACATATATTTATATGACAACAAAGCAGGTAGAATAACATAAAACCCAAATAACATGATTCAACAGGCCTCTGCACATTCCAGAAAGACTGCACTGCTAAAACACGCATTCCGCCACACCATTCAAATATTATTCACATTAGAGGGAACAATATTAACCATATCATTAAAACGACACCATAGAAAAATTAACAGTAGTAACGCTACCGCAGATGTAAAAAAAACAAATCAGTTCACTTACCAAAGCTGCTGTTCACTATTGAAAGACAAAGTCCATCCTCCTTTCTTTGATAACAAAGAATTTAATACCACGATTGCCAGTGATGACAGTCAAGCCTCCCCAGTTGTATTTCTTGAATACGTTTGAATGTGTTTGAGGGCTGAAAATGTCCGCTCGACAGAAGCAGTAGATACTGGGATTGTCACCGCCAAACATGCCAATATGCTAAAAATGTAATGTCATGTAAAAACATCTTACAAACCTTTGAACTTTAACTCCTACTACTACAAAGCTATGCTAGCTAGTTTCACAACAGTGTGGGAAAAATGTATTTGTGTCTTGAAATATGTTTGTGTAAAATCAATCATATCCGTAATTTGAAATGTATCCATGTATATTCACATTCATACTGTGATATTGGCCTGTATCATTATCATGTTATTCATGTCACTGAGACAGGGAGTCTAGTATAGTGGCCTTGAAGCCGGGGTGAAGATAGGGGGGGGGGGGGGGATGATGCAGATAAACAAGTAGGGCAAGATTTCTGACCTAGGGGAAGTCAGTCGCTGTGACGGGCGGCTAGAAGCAAAATCAGGAGAAGACTATGATTAATCCCAAAAAACCCTCTGTTATGACTTGTCCGAGGTACGTAAACTGTGTCTCAATTCAGGGGCTGCATTCTTCGGAGGCTGCATTCGTAAACCGGTTACGTCACAGCGCTGCGACTAGGTTGTTCCAATTCGCATGTTTGTTGAAGACTCCTTCAAATGCAGCCGACGAATTCAGCCTTCTGATCCCAGATTCGGAGGACACAACTGATGGATCCTTTGCGGCCCAGTATATCCAGAGATGCATTGCTTGCCGATGAAAATTTGATTTGAACCAACATGGCGGCGAGTGATGCGGGAGCTGGAGAAGTGGCAGTATTCACTTTTAAGTATTGGGTTTCAACTCACTCGAATGTCACCGATACTAATGTTAAAGCAAAATAAGCGGTCTTATAACATCACATGTGTATTAAAACCTGTTCCAACTCCCCCCTATTTTGGAGCAAAACCGCCTAAAATGACATACCCAAATTAAAATGGCTGTAGCTTCTGAACCACTCTGACTATATGCATCAATGAGGTCTTTCTAGAAAGAAAACCCCCTAAGATTCCTTGTGGAAGTGTCAGAAAACCTGTAGGTCATACAGAAACAGAGCAGTGGGCCTTTGAAGTCAGTAGAAATTGAAGATTTTTGTCCGCCTAAAATAAAAAGTATCTTTCAGTATAAATAACTGCCTGTGGCTGTATCTGTACAGGTAAAGGACAGTATAGGGCTGTAACTACACTGTCAGTGAACAACTGCCTCAAATTTGAAGAATTCACTTTGGGCGAACCAATTCAATCCGAGAGCCATCTCTACAGGCAGGTTGTCTTGTTCCAAGTGCAGCTGCCTGGTGGTTTTGGACCGCTTTGCTTCGGGAATAGATGACAATACAGCCTGACTATTGCTTGTCCATTTTAACAGCTGAAATCCCCCCTTTGAGCATATGTCGGCAAGGTCCATTACCAACTGCATTGCTTCTTCCTTTGTGGGCAAATATTTTAGACAGTCATCCATGTAAAAGTTGTTGTTGATGGTATCAGTCACTTCCACTTTGAAGTCATCCTTATTGTCCACTGCAGTCCTCTTTAAAGCGTAGTTGGCACAGCTTGGTGATGAAACTGCTCCAAAGATGTGTACCCTCATCCTGTGTTCTATTGGATTCTGTGACATGTCTCCCATGGGCCACCACAGGAAACGAAGAAAATCGATTTGCTTTTCTGACACCTTTACTTGGTGAAACATAGCCTGGACGTCGGTCATCAGAGCAACATTCTCCTGTCTAAACCTTGTTAAGACCCCAAAGAGAGAGTTGGTAAGGTCAGGACCTTGTAAAAGTTGACAGTTCAAGGAGGTTCCTTTAAACCCTGCTCCACGGTCAAAAACCACTCTCAGGGTTTTCTTCTTCGGGTGATACACCCCGTGATGCGGAAGATACCACACGCTGCCATGTTTACAGTCCAACTCATCTTTAGGCACCACTTCTGCGTATCCACTGTCAATCATCTCAGTAAGAAATGCTGTATACTCCTCCTGATAGGTCTTATTCCTTTCGAACTTTCTTTTGAGGCTTTGAATGCGTTGTTCAACTATGCACCTATTGTTTGGCATGGTGATGTCATCCAGTTTGAAGGGTAAGTCCATGCAGTAATGACCTTCCTGCATACAAGTAGACCTCTCCAAGATCTCCATGAACCTGAGGTCCTCCATTGACATCTCCTGGTTCTCCTCCAGTGACTTTTCATTGAAATCCTGATTGTACTGGGCGACCAACAGCTCTTCCAATCTGACAATGGATATCCTATTGGCATATATGGTCGAGCAGCTTTTCTGACAACAACCACTATTGCCCTTCAAAGGACCATTGACAACCCACCCTAATAGGATCCTCACGGCATAAGGGCCATCACCTTGGCTGTTGATTATTTCCCAGGGTTCCATTAGAAGCGAACTCACGGGGGAGTAAAAGGGTTTACAGTTTACAGTGTTTCCCCTACCATTATATTAGAGGGGCGCTCCGCCCCCCCTTGAAGGTCGAGTTAATTTTGTTTAATTTTGTTTTCTACATAGCGCCAGATCACAACAGAAGTCATTTACGCTTACCTTTCCTATAGAACAGGTCTATACCTTGTTATTTTATTAAACAAACTAAACAGCCTTATGTTATTTATCTTATTTACACGACGGCATGTCATTTCTGTCTCTACATGGTCGGGCGTTTACAATTCTCCTCTGATCTCTGTATTTGGCGCACGGCGGAGTTCCGCCCCGATACGCACACACACAGGTGAGCACACTCCCACCAGCGGACAGAGAGAGAGAGCGTCAGAAAATATGTTGCGTCAACTACCTGAAAAGCAGACAGCTATATCTGTGTTTTTTAAACGCTCCCAGGGTGGTGAAAATGGCAACACTCGCTCTCCTGCGAGTAGCAGCCGGAGTAGCTCTCCTGCTCCGGGTTCAAGTACAAAAACGAGCCCAAGTGCTGCACGCCAAATGTAAGCTTCTTTTGTAAATGTTGACCATATTTTTAGTTTTGTCTTATGTGATCGCTATATTGACAATAAATTGGATTTTTCTTGCATAAAATGATATAAAGAATTCATATACTTCATTTAATTGTCGAGCGTCTTTTAATGTTAACCTTTCCAACATTTTTTTAGATTGGCAAAAGCATCAACTATAGGTCACATCGAATCATAGATGAAATGCTGGAAATTCTGGCCGCTGTTATCGTGAAGCCAATATTGAGGGATATTTCTCAGTCACAAGCCATAGGGTTGGAGATTGATGAGACCACAGATGTCTCTGTGTGCAGACAGCTAGACATTCATGTGAGGTAGGTCTACTCAAAGTGTAACATTTCATTAACCAATACAATTTCAATATACAGATAATTGAAATGTATAAAATGTATGGACATTATTAGATACATGGACAATGAGAGGAAGGTCTTCTGCCAATTCCTGGATCTGATTTGCCTGACTGATGGGAAAGCAGATTCAATAGTGGCAGCACTAAAGAACATCATTCACAAGAAGGGCATCCCCACACATTTCATCTTTGGCCTTGGAACTGATGGTGCTGCTGTAAAGACAGGTGTCATACCTTGTTTTTTGTACGTAATTAAACTGTTTTAAATATTTTGTTTCTGTACTTCAGAACCGCTCTGCTTCTCTGAAAGCCGCTGCAGAGGTTCTCAGTGTGTCTGAGCTGAAAGTGAATGTAAGTAAGTTATGCCTCAAATAAATTTACATATGTGAATACTTTACTTGCATTTATATTAATTTTTTTAAACCAGCTGTTTTTTCTGTCATTGTCTAGCAAGTAAAGGACACACGATGGCTCTCCCAACATGAAGCAGTAAAAAACCTCCTAAGAAACATAACTGCTGTACTGGGTGCCTTAGCAGAGCAAGTAGAGACCCGCAAATGTCCTACTGCTAAGGGACTGTATTCATTCCTTGCCACCTATCGCTTCATTGTCTCCCTTCACCTGCAAGCTGATGTGCTCCCTCACCTGGCACGCCTCTCTAAGCTCTTCCAAAAGGAGGATGTCATGTTCCTGGCAATCAAAGAGCAAGTAAGTTAAATAGCTCAGCTCAACTGCTATGTTTTATCTTCATGTTTATTTTGCACAAACATAGGGTACCACAATTAATCTTTTCACATGAGTCAATATGCTTATTTTCCCAGGTCCCTGTCACCCTGGCCTTAATAAAGAGCATAAAAGGTTCTGGTGGTCAAAATGTGGATGACCCTTCAGGACTGGGGGCATTCTGCATCTCTGCTGAACAGGAGAGGGGGAGAAGAGGGGATGATGCAGGAGACAGACAGCAGTACTGGCAAAGATTTCAATCACAGGTATGATTATGTGGCTTTTGGCTGACTTTATAGATGTAACTTCAATTTAGTTGTTGCACAGTTTTATTTATACTAATAGTTTACTGACATTTTTCATGTGATCAGGTGATGGATCCATATTTGGATGGCCTCATTGCCCACCTCGAGAGACGTTTCTGTGAGGTTGGAGTCGTGGCTGCATTTGGGATACTCGGTCCACAAGCAGCTACACTCCCTGACGACACTGCACACACAAAACTGAGGATACTGGTAGAGAAGTTTTGGTCCCATGTCGATTTTGGCACAGTCCTCGAAGAATGGACCTCTTTCAAGGAGCAAGTGGTCTCTGGTCCACTCAAGGTAACTTAAAAATGTAACATTTTCACATGACATTATCATGAACACTATACTGTGTTACTGATATCATTTTGAACCTTTTCAGAACAAGACACAGTTGGCCATACTGTCTGAAATGTCCTCAAAATATGAGGAGTTTGGTGTCCTGTACCCAACTATGAGCCTGCTGGCTTCCATTGCCCTGATGGTCCCGGTCAGCAGTGTAAACTGTGAGAGGGACTTCTCAACCGTGAACAGGGTAATAAATACTTTTCACAATGGGATTTGTTGCTATTTTAAGCTATCAGCTATCACTTTTAAAGCCTAACAGTTAATGTATTTGCAGGTCAAGACAAACATCCGCAATAGACTGCAAGGAGACCATCTTGCAGCTTGCCTGCGGATCTCGATAAATGGGCCAGCCCTTTGTGACTTCCCATATCGAGAGGCTCTGGAAATGTTCTTCCAGAAGCCCCGAAAGATACACTGTAGTGACAAAACCTGCACACTTTGTGGTTGTCATTAAAGAAACACATGAACACCATGTTTCCTTTAAATGTTTGTTTCGGTGTCTGTCCGTACCCCCCCCCCCCCCCCCAAAAGCTGTAAACCTAGGGTATCTCAGTGAAGCACAAAACGGAGGATGAAGAAAAGTCTCTGTCTCTCCCCACCAGTAGCTGAAGTTCGTCCAGTGTGTTGCACAGTGAGCGGCAGCGGTGTGCGAGCCGGCCCGTTTCCCTCTCCTACGGCGCTTCACTGCATGAGTTAAGGTGAGCGCACCTTTGACGAGAATGTCCAGTAATTCCACAGAAGTTAACAGAAAAGTTTGAAGTACGTCCGCTGGAATTGTTCCCCTGATGTTTATGAGCTTGTCTCTGGTGAAAGAGCTCCGGGAATCGCAGCAGAAAACAGTATTTACAACAAAAAAACACAAAACAATGAGCACTAACACACCGAGGCAGCCGTCCATGGCGCCATCTTGAAGAGTTTGATTATCAGACTCCAACTACATGAAGCATCTGCATTAAATACACAGTAGGTCCACATGAAACTGCCACAGAGGACCGGACTGGTAATGGTGAAGTAGAGCCAGCAGGTGGTTGATAGGAATGTCCAGTTGAATTTACTGGAACTTTGTGGAGGTTGTGGTCGTGATGGCGAGGTGTTATGTCAGCTCTGACGGACGAACATTGGTCAGATATGGCAATGTCAGGTCTCTGACAGCGTCGGGGGAGGGAGGTGACAGAGAAGATTAAAGCATTTAATAAATCGCAGAATATCACAATACAAAGGAATAAGGGTGAAACGCGAAAGAAAATACTTTCTTATTGAACTTTCACCTTCATTTGAATTTTCCTCCAATACACTTTCCGTAAAGCTAATTGTATTTTAGGGAAGAGCTGGCACAACACTGGGACGGGGTTTGCTAGTTGGATTTTTTTTTGTTTTCTAAATCTAGTGCACCCTTTCTGGTTTCTCCAGTGTTACCTACCCAAGCTCAACTTTCTGTGTATGTGCAAATATGGATATCCTTTAGCCCAGTTCTCCCAGCAGAACCTTTAAAGCTCCACCATATCTCATCTTGGTGGTCTTATCGTGAAACGGCCCAACATGCAACTGGACTTTTCTGGCCTCCAGCTCACAGTGTGACAGACACATGTGGCCGGCGCCTGCGCGTTGTTAAATAGACTGATAAGGACTTTCTGAGTGTTGTCCCAAGACGATTACAATTCCCCCAGAATTGGCTGACCCCATGTTCTCATTACAGTGATTTATTAGTGTAATAGTACTTTAATCCCAGCCAATACCATGGTGCCTCTCTAACCCTCTTAAGGGCTCAGCCTAGCAATATACCAATGTACACAGATTAGAATACCAAGCATATAGTGTGTGTGTGTGTGTGTGTGTGTGTGTGTGTGTGTGTGTGTGTGTCTCTCCTTCTCTGTGCATGTTTGCCACTCACTCATGTAATAATGAGCTGGACATCTTGCTCAAGACTCCATTATTTTGAGATGCTTGACAATCTATGATTTGGATGTAGTGGCCATGGGTTTTCAGCCCTACATTGCCACAAATGGCAACCTGTGCTTCTCCGTTTTTTGGGTTAGGGTCATTCACCCGTCAGAGTCATAGGAGACTACATTGAAGAATTTTTACGCCATCGAAAAGAAGCAAGCACATTTGCCAGTGTCATTTAGGAGACCTGAAACAATAATAAAAAAATATATTGACAGTACAACAGATGTACCGTTGATATTCTAGAATGACAGTAAATAAAGACTGCCATGAAATCAGGAGCCTAGTAAAGGTCTCTCAGTAAGCCAAGATGGCAAACCATTCATCTTTTGTCTTGCAGTGTTCTGCTAGTATTTTGTCCAATGAAAAAAAAAAGCTTTAAAAAGAATATTCAATAAGCAATATGTTTTAGATATGCTATTATTCATTTTTTTACTTTAGTTTTCATACCTGCAAACTTGTCGCTTTTCGGCAAAATTCACCGTTTCGAATCAAAATATGTCATCCACGTGAATCGTGCAGATCTGTAGAGTTTCTATTTTTTTGAGGAAGGGGGGGGGGGGGGGGCAACTGGCCAGCCAGCGTTTTTCAGATTGGAGTGAGACAAGGAGAAGAGGTGATATCGTGATCTTCGCAATAAAACATCTTTGATGTGACGTGTCGAGTCTTGGCCAATCAGCGTTAAGATGTCTACACCGTCTTCATTTCCCTCCGTTAAAGTTTAAGTTATGTTATGTTCCGTTACCATTCAGACTTGCTGGGTTAAGTTAACGTCCACTGCATGTGGAACTTGGTCGACTTTTAGCGTTCGTCATCATCGCGATTTAGGAGGAAAAAACGTAACATGATGAAACATGCAACCTTTGCTCCAAGGAGATAAAGTACAGCAACAAGGGCTCACATGCCCTCTCATCACTCATCACACTGCCAGACACTGTTCACTGTGATGACCACAGCCCGTGTACTTCCAGTCCCAACAGTCCTAAGTGCAGTTGCTCCCAAGGGCCCTGAAGTAATGAGAGAGAGTGTTAAGGTGCCTGTATCTTAATTCCAGTGGGTTGCTAATGCAAAGGTGTGTATAGATTATTTTACTCTTGATAAACTACCTTAGCCAGAGTAGATCATTTTAATTTAAATAATTGAACTGGATTGAATGCATATTAATTGCAAATAGAAGATAGGCCACAATTCTAACAGCTTTACAGTAACAGTGGAAGTTAATATTAAGCCTTCACTAACAAGGACCACGCCAATAACAGTATGAGTTTTGAGAGGTTTATTGCATAGTGGAATGATTGTTAGATTCAAGAAGCGGAAGGGGTCGAGGGATGAAATAGATATAGGGTAGGGGTAGAGGGATGAAGGGGAGTAGGGTAGAGGGATGATGGGATGTGGGGTACGGATGAAGAGATAAAGGGATGTGGGGTAGGGGTAGAGGGATGTAGGTTAGATGGATGAAGGGATGTAGGGTAGGTTGGAAGAGATGAAGGGATGTCGGGAAGAAGAAACGAGGAGGGTTTGTAGAAAAGAGGTTAGGTGATCGATGGGGGACCGTTGATGTCCGGCAGGTGGCGGGAACGGGGGGACTGGAGACTGTAGAGTGGGGGCCGTCTCTTCGGAAGCTCTGGCGGTGCAGAGTCCCCAAAAGATAGCTCCACGCCGATGGGCGTTTCTGGTGGTATGCAGGGGAAGACCAACAATCACGTATCTTGAGGATTTGGTCGGAAATTCCTTGGCTTGAAGCGGTGGAGGTGGCGCCGAGTAAACTCTGGGGGTATTCTGGATCGGGCCAAGATATGGCGAAAGTTGTGGTGAGCCGGAGACCGCAACAGGGGATCTTGCGGGGAGTTCGGCTGGCTGAACTTGAGCTTAAGCAGTCGCGGATGGGTCTGTACGGACTTGAGTACGAGTCTGGTCGGAAAAGGTAGATGGGTTGAGGTGGACTGTATTGGTTGGTCTTGCGGCATTTGAGGTGATAGATGACTGTCGGGAGGATGGATGTGATGTCTGACGCGGTGGCGTGTCGGGACGGATGGAGTTCAAGGCGGTGAACTCGGAGCAGCGAAAGAAGCTGGCAAGAACGTGGACTTTTATGCTTTGTCCATGAAGGGAGACGGATGACCTGAGCTGAGGTGAGGATGCCGCAGGTGAGGAGGTCCGAAGTGAGGGGCAGCCGTTTAGGCGCTATATTCTGAGTGGATGGCAATGGTCTTTAATAGACTGTTCATGCCCCAAAAGAATGGCTACTATGACTATGGGATGCGTTTCGTAGATCGCGGAGGAAGGTGTGGAGGATGAGAATTCAAGCGGCCAAGGACCGATTGTCACTGTAGAAGCCGTCGAAGCTGATCGAGGGTGCTGCGTCTGTGAAAAGCTGGATGCCTTCCAGCTTGGTGATGTGTTCGTCATGGAAGAAGGAGATGCCGGGAGGAGAGGAACTGGTGTCAGTTTAGCTCGGTTTACGTGCTTCGTCAAGTGTGACGTGGTCATGGAGGTTTGTAACGGCGGCGGCGTCTAACGGGATGTGTGGCAACGAGGATTTTGTTTAATCTATTGATTCTATTTATTTATTTTTTCTGGTGGAGGAAAGCCGATTGTTTAGACCGTGTGCTGGGTTTGAAGAAGGTAGTGTGACGGTGAGGAAGTCGTCTAGGTCATTGATTTTCACCACTGAGCTGTAGCCCGTCGGTGTGCCGTGAGAGATCGTCAGGTAGGCCGTGGGAAAAATATCCGGATTCGCTTAAATCGGTCCACAAATAATATATTAATTGGTTGCTTCGAATAATTTGCCATGGTTGAACGTCTGGGCCTGCAACATAGTAGCTGGCTACGTAATTAAATACTCTCCTGTGCCAGTGGGTGGCAGTAGGTAGCAGAATAATGACTGTGGTGATTAAGAAAGTAGAATTAGGTGATGCACCGAGAGGTTGCGGTGACAAGACGTTTGTCCGGATTCAGGTAAGCAAATTTTCCGGCTGCTCTTGGACGGACGCATTGCGGAATAATACGCGTCCTTCCGAAGGAAAACGAAATGGTATCGGTAGTCAGGTTCGGTGGTAAGGACTTTGGAGGTGCTGGTGATGTCTGCCTTAGGTGACCGGCTTCTTCGCCTGCGAGGCGGATGGGGAACGTGATATGATCGATTCTTATGTACTTCGTGGAGTAGTCCAGGCTGGGAATTAGGTGGAGCCTGGTGATGTCTGCGCAGGTGGGGAGTGGCTGTTTGAGTGCAGCGGCCGAGCTTGGTTAGCAATTCCCAGGAGATGTGGGGATTGCGTGTGGATGGCTGGATAATTGGGTGAGGTACATGTGGTTACCGGTGATCGATAGCCTGTGTTGTGTTGAACAGAAAGGCAGGAGCGAGGGAAGAGGAAAAGATGCTGGGATGAAGGGATGCATGTGCGTGGGTTGGAAGTGCAGATTGGGGAAAAGCGGCTGCAGGATGAGATATCCCTGATGCAGAGAGTAAGGAGCGGGTACGATGCGAACTGGCCCTCTAGAGGGGCTGGT